GGGGGAGGCGCGCGGGGGGCGCGGGCGCCTGCGCCAGTACGTCGCGCACCACCCGGCCGCCGTCTCCGCCGTCCGCCCGGCCGCCGCGCTCGCGCCGCGCCTCGCCGCCATGGTCGCCGACGCCCTCGACTTCATTGTCACCGGCTCGGAGGCCGCCGCCCTCGCGCTCGAGGCCGCCCTCGTCACAGAGCATCGCCCAAAGTACAACGTCTTGCTCAAGGACGACCGTCGCCATCCGTACGCCCTCATCACGTTTTCCGACACCTACCCCAGGATCGTCGTCACGAGGACCCGTAGGAAGAAGAGGGAGGAGGACGCCCTGTACGGGCCGTTTGCGAATGAGCACAGGTTGGGACAGGTCCTGGCCTGTATTCACTCGGTGTTTCCGCTCAGACAGCGCCCGCGGAGATTGTTTGCGAACAGGCCGTGCATCAACTACGACCTCGGCAAGTGCCCGGGCGTATGTCAGGAGCTCATCCCGCCCGAAAATTACGGCAAGACGATTGCCAAGGTCGATAAGTTGCTCCGGGGCAGGGTCGAGGAAGTTGTCGAGGAGATGCGCGAGGAGATGAACGCCTTGTCCCTTGCTATGCAGTATGAACGAGCGGCCGAGTGTCGCGATCGCATTGCTACTATCGAGCGCGTGTTTTACGCCCACGGTCTAGGGGATGACGTCGCACAGCCCGGCGGACGCCAGCTTGTCCGCGAGGCGGAGGAGGCCGCGAGTATTGTCGCAATGGACCCGTTTGTTTCGCGTGATGTCTTCAGTATTGCCCATTCGGTTGTTGCGGGCAAGGTCGCCGACGCCCGCACCTACCGCCGCCCGCACCTGCCGCCGTCCGCACCTGCCCCCGCCCGCACCTGCCGACGCCTGCACCTGCCGCCACATGCGTTGTCATGAAGGCAGTTTTGCTGATGCACAGCCCTGGGAAACATTCGACGTCGAACACTAGTTTCTTATCGGTTGAGCCGGCACCTCTCACGGCAGTGATGTTAAGATTCAACCAGAACTAGGTTGCCATGAAAATGGAGCACAAATGTGCGCTCCTGTCAAGGACGGCTCACTGGATTTACGCAGAAGACGTGTGGCAGGGCTACTGCCGCATATGCAACTTCCCGCATGTGCGAGGTCCGGATATGCAAGCCCATGCCGTGCAAGTGACCAGACCCCGGGCACAGCGAGTGACACTTTTGCTCGTAGCTCCAATTCATGCAGGTCCTATCCTCTTCCTCTTACAAATTTGAGAACATCTGGGTGCTCATTTCGCGATATGATTCGAGAGCTTTCTCGTAGCGCTCCTTCGCCACTTCGACAAAGGGTGTTTTCGACTCATCACCAACAGCCAACTTTTTGGCTCTTTCCAACGCCATAAGTGATGCTTCGACAATAGCAAACACTGAGCTATTCTCCTCCCATGAGTCAATACGAGCGGACGCTGCATTAACTGGGGTTGAGTTATTGGCTGCACTGGTTGTCGGGCCAGACAGCGAAGACACCAACTTTCCAATCGACGCAACGTGCTTTTCCATAATGTCCATCATATCAACGCTGCTCCTCGTCTTCTTCCTACTATCTGCTAGAGCCCAAATGCTATCTTCCCGCCCCTCACTCTCCCTTCCCCCCTTGTCAAAGTTTTGCATATCTGCGCCCCTCACGCCGCATTCGAAACCCCCGTCCAATATTGTTTTGGACGTCATCTCCACGAAATAAGTGTCTTGATGCGCCGTCCCCATTTCTCGCAACGACAAACAAGATAAGAGTACGTTTTGAGGCAGCATATAGATTTTCGCCATTACGTGGCAAAAAGTTAACGAAGCGCTGCGTGTCGTTTTGACCAGAACGGGACCACTTGCTCAGGGCTGTCGTGAAAAGCGCTTTCGAGTCTCGAAAGTGTTCTTTCAACACATCGGCGCATCTATAGCATAGTGGAGAGGCAGAGGGGTCAGATTCGTCGACGTGGTCCTGTAGAAGAAATTGAAAACAAACCGAATCATCATTAAACCGTTCCTCAATCTTCCCCCAAAAGCTGTCCCTCGTCGTACCCCCGTCCAATTCTGCCCTTCTCAACTCTTGGCCTAACCTAAAAAGCATACTTCGTGCCTCCTCGTCATCCCGCATTAAAACAGCCAACCGAGCGTATTCCGAAAGTGAAAAATTGGGCCTAGGACGCTCTGATTCACAGCCTTCTAGGTCTTCTACACATACGACTGAATCCCTTCTATTTGCACTATTAATGGGCTTGTCGTTCTTGTCGAACTTGTACCCTATCTTGAGCAAATACGCCTTTGTGGAAGAAAAACTTGGTGCCTCTATCCAGTCTTCCCACCGTCAGCAAAGCTGTGTAAAAAATGACCTCCAATCTTCACATTTTGGGTTCGACTCAAACTTTGCCATTAAATTTGTTCCTTTCTTTTCATGGTACTGCAAAAGCAATAAACAACGAAATATCAGCGCTGCCTTGTTCCCTCCTAATTTTAAATTCCAAAACGAGCACACCTCCCTCAACTTCCCTTTCTTTCTTTGGCAGAGATATATATAGATTTTGGATATCTCTGAAACATCTGCATTGTGATCCTTCAAAGCATAGTTTGCGTCATATTTATCCGTCGTGCCATCTTGTCCAGACGAGTTCGGGTTCGATGGTGGAGTCCCTTCACCCTAAAGATTCGAGGGATCAGTCTCTGGCTCGGAAAAAGACAGCAGAAGCCGGGCCTCCGATACGCCCTCACAAGTTCGAGGGGAGCACGGTAACTGGGAGATGCGCGGGTTTGAGGTTGGGGCTAGTGAGGAATTCATGGGGGCCTTCTTGGATATCCCTGTTGTTATCCTTGCAATGTGCGGGGAGCGGCGCGGAGAATATCGGTCGGCAGCGACCATGGCTGCGCAAACGGAGGAGCTCGGAGCAGATTGCACAGGAAAAGGACTTCGGGATGGCAAATGTTGTGGCGATAGGAACAGTTGTGCTTCCCTGTGATCCCACGTCGTGCTTGGAGGACCAAAGTTTGGACATCTGGAGGGTAAACAAAATAGTCCGCCAATTCGTAAGTGTACAGTCAGTCAAACGAGCCAATATGACCTCGACAACTGTCCCAAAGGCGTAAGTTACACTAATGTCATCAGTAAGAGGTAGCTTCTTCGAATTTATTAAATATGAAACTACCAGAACCAATCAAAGTAAAGCAAGTGTTTTTTTTCGGGCAAGCACGCGCTTGTTAAGACACACCCTGAGCTTCCGCTATCATAGCCAGACCAGGAGCACGGGACGTGTTCCTCTGCTCGTGCCTTTCCTGACTTGATCTGCATCTTCTCGTCGGCCAACCCTTGCAGTCGCAACAACCCGTCCAACATCCACGTTCGCCTTTCCAACGTAAACCAACGCAAATGAGGACTTGCGCCTTCCTACCCGCCCCTGTCCTCCTCCCAACCCCCACGCGTCCAGCATCTACGCGTTGGCGCTGCACCGCGACCGCCTCACCCGCGGCTGGCACAATAGCCACTGGAGCCAACGCACGCCGCCTGGCGCGCTGGCTGGCGGCCGATTGGGACAACAAGCCTCAGTCCTACGAGAACCCTGTCTTCTGGGCCCACATCCGCGTGTGCTTCCGCCCGCTGCCCTGGTCATTGCTCGACAGCTACACTCTGTACTGTGAGTCTGCCTACGACTTCAACCTTGGCGCCCCGTACAAGTCCTCGGTCGTCCAGGTGGTGCACAACGGCGCGGGGCATCTTGAGCTCGTCTCGTACAAGCTCAAGGACCCGGAGGAGTTCTGGATGGCCGCGCACGAACCAGAGCTGCTAGAGCCGCTTACGGCGGACCAACTCCTGCAAATGCCGGAGGCTTGTAATACCGTCTACGAATGGAGCCCAGCGAAGAACGCGTATGCAGCCTATTCGAGGCCGGGTAAGGGATGCAGGATTTGTCGTGGCGGCAAGGAGAAGGAAACTTATTTAGACTCCAAAATTATGCTCACTGAGGCTCAGTACGTCGCGTGGGATCTAGGGCTCGATCCGGAGACTGACGAGAGAGTGTGGGGGACTGCTGCCGGACCGTTTGTCTTCTCGCCACTCGCAAACTTAGATTACCTTGTGCCAGAAGAGCCTGCTTCAGTCGCTTCGTCACCGCCATAACGTCCCTTTCGCCTCATATCGATCGTATGGGGGTTTTTTCGCGCTGCGTTTGGACCGCTATGGTGATTGCTCGCCATTGTACAGTTTACGTTTTGTAGAGGTGGGCATCTCTTGTCGTCGCATCAGACGCTTTCCTTGTCAGATGCGAGTTACAATACTTATGCCTCGTACTGCATCCAGGTGGCACCAAAAATTACAAATGCTAGAAGCGCTTCTCAATAAAGGCAATTTTTCCTGACCTGCATGCCTAAATGACGCAACTGACGACATCCGGGCCACTTTTGCCTCATCTTAAAACAAGGACCTGAACAAACTTGCTAGTCAAGAAAAGCTCCAACTGTGCAAGATCCATGCATTCTTGGCTATCAGTGCTTCTCCGCTGCTTCGTGACCATCGCCGCCGTGGCCTCCGTGATGGTCCCACGGGTGTTTCCATCCCTTTTATGTTCGCACACGTCGCATAAGTGTTCCGCAAATGGTGAGCTCGTCATGACGGTCAACACGGCAATACATCGCTTCAATGAGGACCCAATCCACACGGTCTCGCACGCGCAGATCGTTCCTTGATGCAAAACGTGATGATCGCTTCAAGAAACTTTGCTTTGACGCTGGCTCAACTTACCAGCAAGTGGGGGAGATCCTTCTTCCCGCGGTAGAAAATCCAAAGCCACATTGACACTCCCATCACGTATCCGACGCGGGATTGCCAGGCGGCGGGGGGCACTGGCTTAAACCCTCCGTAAGGCTTTCCAGGCTGAGGATATTTCTCCGGTGGTCCTCCCATGGCAATTAGACGCAAGCACTCGGTTGGAAAGCGAGGAGAACGACAAGGAGACTAACTGGGGTTGGCGAGGACTTGAGCGGGAAACGGGAGGTGCCACATGTGCTACTGTCTGTATTTTCGTGCAGTGAGAACGTTGTGGCGGATTGTGTGTGCAGATAATTTTCAGTAAAAATTTAAAATGTTCAATTTTTGGAGCGCTTTATATCCCTTCGTTTCTCTTGCACTCTCTTTGATACCCTTGGGTACTGCTTTGAATGAAATGACGTCTCCGGTCCCGAACTTCTGCCGCGCTGGTTCTTTCCAACCTTTCAATCTATTCATTACCTGGTCTCGACGTGTTCCAGCATTCCGACCGCCTGTCATCAAAACGATGCCTCCCCAACACAGCAAATGGTAGAAATGAGTGAACACCAATATTGCATGTGCACGACAAAGTTGTCACCGCTACAAGACAAAAGCGACGCACAGCCCTTCTAGTGATGAGCTGGTTTCCTTTACAACGGCCATTATGGTACAATTTCACGCTGGAACGGGCGATTCCAATGATTGCAATCATCTATTGTTGTAGCTCGGCTTACGCTTATCAATGAAGGCCTTCATGCCTTCCTTTTGATCATCCAGAGCGTACGTCGATTGAAATGCACGTCGCTCAAAAATCAAACCCTGCGAGAGGGTTGAGTCAAACGCGATATTCACACACTCCTTCGCCGCTTGAAGAATAGGTCTTGAATGTCCAGCGATGACAGCCGCCACACTTTTAGCCTCTTTCAAAGCTTCGCCTTTCCGGGCTACTCGCGATACTAACCCTGAACCCTCTGCTTCTTCCGCACTCATTTGACGACCCGTCAAGATCATCTCCATCGCTTTCGCTTTCCCCACTGCTCGTACGAGCCTTTGCGTCCCGCCAGAACTCGGGATAGTCCCAATCTGTACTTCTGGTTGCCCAAACGTCGCGTCTTCTGCAGCAATAACGATATCCGCGGCCATAGCGAGCTCACACCCACCACCTAAAGCAAAACCAGAAACGGCTGCAATCAAAGGTTTCTTTGTCGCAGCGATTCTGTCAACGCAGTGGCCCTCGTCATACTTATATCGCGACGAATAGTAACTTCTTGACGCCATCTCCTCAATATCGTTTCCTGCGCAGAACACACGCTTGCTTCCTGTCAAGATGATCACTTTTACAGAAGAATCTTCGTCAAATCCTTCAACAGCCTCTGTGATTTCAGACCAGGCGCCTTGATTGAGCAGGTTGAAATGTTTGGGGCGATGGATCTCGACGACTCCGACTTTGTCCTCACTAGATGTAAGGATGTGATCAAATTCACGTGATGATACTGGAATTGCAGATGGTGCCGACTCACAGAGCGTTCGCCATATACGAACCGGACCTTTTGAAGCGACAAACCGACGAAGCATGGCTGATATCCTTGACCGAAGGTGTTGAGACCGGGGTAAAGACAAGGCTTTGTGCAACTGTATTTCAGACTTGCTGCACTCCTTAGTTTGATCCAAGTGCGTGTCGAAGGTCCCAGAGCAAGATCTGAAGTAGATTAGTCTGAGGGAGGATCTCAAACTACGAAGCTTTGAGAGACGCGGGGGACTTGAATAAGAGACGATAGGGGGCTTGGCCCAGGACTTTTTTTGACCTTGCCTGCAATCTACCGTAAATCTGAACAGAGAAATTGCGAAGAAGCTCAACTTGTTATTCTTGGTTACTGTAAATGATAGAGCTGATTACAGTGCGGCTACTGCGACACGATCGCGCTGTGGTCCTGCCGCGCAGCGTACAGTACATACTGTATGTGTCGAGAGCTGGAGAAACGCGGATCTAAACCGAAGAGCCGGCGTTGGCCACGCCTTCACGTCACCACCATCATCATCATCTTGTTGATTCTCAATCACTGCAACCATGCACATTCCACCATACCACTCATGCTTCCCCTCCTAGTAGGAAAGAGGAAGAGACATAATCAAAAACCATGCCTCCCATGGAGCACGGTCGCCAGCGTGTAGAGGGGTTTTTTTTTTTTTTCACATAGCTTCCACTCCGATTGAATGGAAGTCATGTGAAACAGAAAGTCTGTTTTGAGCAGTGCCGTGAGCTGGCTGCTTTCCACTAGCACTTATTATTCTACAGTACACAGTGCAAACGTGATCCAAACTACGTCCCTGTGTCACTTCGCAGCGCTGGACATGGCATTAGCAACTTATAGCAACCGATCACCCCTTTTGTTGCCGCCGTCACTTTCACCACACAAGTAAAACATCAGCATGACTCTCACAACGACATACCGTACACGCTTCATCTTGCTGACTATCTGTATCTTTTGCTAATATTTGACTTGTATATTGAACCGTTGCTGCCGTCGACTTGAGTTCGTTTTTAATTGCAGAATTGCTTCATCAATGCTGCTACCGTCTTTGTCTATGTGCTCAAACGACAGTCAAGACCTCTAACACTGCCTACAAAGGAGTAGTGAATACAAATCGCTAGCTGCACCCTTTTTCGTGACGAATGTGTGGGAGTCTCTTCGCCCGTAGTGCAACATGACATACATATAGCTCAGTCGCAGTTTCTAAATGAACACACCCAAAAGTTTCGCCCAATTTTACTCAACAATCGTTGACAAGCACTTACATGGACTTTTTCCGCCTTAAAGAGGCTGGGAACGGGACATTGAAGGAGTTAGCCTGATCACGTCAATGTTAATTAGTGCACAGGGAGGTACGGTAAATCACACCGCAAAAAGCCCTGAGTCATCCCCTCGACAAGCCCTTACAAAATTCGAGAGTACGGAGACGGGCGGAAGACTTTCTGAACTTGAATTGGAAACTGTGTGGCTGCGAGCTTCTTCGCCCACGACTTGAACCCTTCGAGCTTCAACACCAGTCCCTGTATCGGTTCTGTAAGAGAAAGGAAACAGAATGTTCCCTTCCCCTTTCCCCTTTCTAGCCTTCCGCGACAAAACTGTCTCACTTAAACGCTTACCAACAGCAGCTTGGTCGAGAGCACCATTGCCTTCAATGTCAAAAATATTACAACGGGCAACTCGAGCAACACTTGACCTTTTCGAAGCAAGCCTGCCCACATTGCTACTTTCCGTACGAGACTCTTGTCTCGAATGTCTTTCAAACAAGCAATAGGCAACTTCACATCCAAACAGGACTCCTCTACGGTGGCACATAGTTTCGACGTTTGCTGCTGGAGTGGGCCCTTTTTTTGTGTCGCCCTTCTTCAGTTTCACCTTTCGTGCAGGATACGGGCCCGGGTTCGGGGGAGGATTTTGCCCACCTGCTTGCGACATTCTGCTAGTGACTTGGTTCAAGGCGATTGCGAAGTTGCTTTGGTGTTTTGATTGAAGCGGTGGTCGTGCTGCCGATTTTCGTAGGGCAGAATGTTAGAGTGGTTTCCTTTATATCGGATCAAGACAGTAGTTCACTGAACATGAAAGGACCAGCACTCCAGGCCGCACACGGCAACCCGTTAAAGTGTTGGAACCCAGGTCCTCAATAACATACACACAACAATTGGCGTGTTGGTAGAGCAGAGTTTGGCAAAACAGAAAAGCAGGCACATCAGGCCTCGTTGTACCGATGCGCAATATGAAAATGAAAAGAAAGGCATCGGGGTTTGGAAACTCTAAGATATACCACCTCGACATAGCGGAGTGAGTGAGAAACAAAAAGGCAGGAGGGGCAACGCATGTCACCAAAAAAGGGATGGGAAGGCTGCGTTGGAAGGTCATAAGAAATGTGACATATCTTAAACTGTTGGAGATAGACGGCCGGCAATGCACAGAAAAAGCGGAGGGCGGAACAGACAAAATAGACAACCGAAATGATGCATAGTTGCATGCAGAGTTGCAAGTATGTAAGGACGGATGTTGCCACACGGGAACGCGAAGATGCTGGTAAGGGCGCTGGAATGGTTCCTTGAAATCTGGGGCACATGTGTAGAGGTGAAGAATGCTGTTGTCATAGAAAGCATCTGTGTATTGCCTACGCCGTGCTGTGGGACGTTCCGGAGAGGTGGAGGATTTGCAGTTGAAGGTCAAGATGCAGAGCGCTTGCATTCGTCTTGATGACATTACTGGTGAGAGCCAATGGCCATTGCCACCAAGGACAGAAGCATTGAGGTTGTGTATGGGGGCCTGTGACGGGACAAAGCCGTGCGCCAGGTCAAGTGAAACTGCGAGGCAGGGTATATGTCTCTAATATATGCACGGCGAAATTGCTCCCTGCCCCGAGGGGCAAATATTATTATGCCAATTCCAGCATGCTCTGTACCGCCACTGCCGGCCTGCAAAATGTCGGCCAACTTGCAAGATTCTAATTTTGTGCTTATTCTGAGACTCACTAAAGATCGGCACCTGAGGGACGACACCTACTGCAAAAGGGCGTCGCGTACCTCCCTCCACACCAAAAAATAAACACACAACCTCAATGCAGCTATCTTTGTGTTTGCGCTTGCCGATCAGATGCACCTCTCGAAAGCAGATATTCGGAGGAGGCCTTGGAAATTTAAGGTGCAACCTTCCCCTGCTTTCCAAAAGGGATTGAGTCGCAAGAGTTTTTTAGAGTTCACGCAAAGCTTATCTCGAAGGACACTGGCCACGAGTTCATCTGGAAAGCCAATCCTTTTTCCAGTTTAATTGAAAACCTTGCAAGCTCTTCCATGCCTTTTATCGTCCACTGCCTCCTCCCTGCGCTCTGAAAAAGATGATCACGAGCATTTCCGTTTCAAAACTAGACATTCGCATGTGCCACAAAAGAAACGTGTCTCTCCTGCGATTACAAAAGGTAAACAGAAAAGAAGATTTTAGAGGCGTGGCAGATTATTTGATGTCCGGGAAAAAAAAAATCGGGCAAAAGAGACCAGTGCTGGTGAGTTCCGAAAAATCTCAAGAACAACTGCACTAAAGCACTGCAGATGCCTTGCCCATCACCCATTCGTAATATTCACCCTGATTTTGGGCCCAATAGATTCTACACCTTACCGTTACGGTACTTCCATCTTTTGATTGCCGAAGAAAGAATATGATCGCATGACTGTCCTTACCAGCTTGTTGATCATACCGGAGACTCATAATTTGAGAAACTACAATTCAAAAAAATTATCGCGAAAGAGAGAGGCTGACCTCGCCATTCCTCACATGCAACACAGATCCTGTTCACTGTTTAATGTAAACTTTCTCCCTGTTCCTCTTCAAGTACCGAGACCAAAGCAGAACACCAACGCTCGGAGCGCATCGCCTCTCATCAGCCACCTTGTCGTGAATATGGTCAAGCATCTGTAACACGCTTCGTCGCCGCGTCGCTACATAGACGCCCATGTTCCTGCGCCGAATGAAGAAACGAGAAAATATGTTTCTTTCGATGGAGCACAATTTGTCTTGTTGGAAATGAATTGTAACCGGACTTGTGCTGTAGAAAGTCCAAAATAAATGACGCCCCTCCTCTCCACATGTGCAGTCCCGTTCTCAAGACTTTTCGAACGAAGAACACATCTTGACATGCCTTTGATTCTTCTTGCTCTCATCACTCCATTGTACAAATTCTCCATCAACTTTTTGTACAGTACTGTATTGTACCTGCGGAGTCGGTCTCCGTGTGTGAGGCTGTCATGTTTACCCGCCCGTTATCTGATGTGGCGATGACGCATCCGTTCCACGGATATACACTTTGGGCAAGTATTGGCCCGATCTCTTGCTTGAGAAAAACTGGTTTACAGTCGTCGATGTCTTTCACAACGTGCACAAACTGGCAGACCTCACACTAAAGCATCACCCCCTCCTGAAAAGCAGTGACTCTCACACGTCATAAGTGTTCACACTTATAGAAGACTCTCTTTCAAGAGCCCAAAGTGGTTCAAGTGTACCGCATGGATTTCATAGATCATCCTGAAGCCCCTGAACATTCCGACAGGGGAGCAATAGGACAAAGAACAGTTTGCCACATTATCATAAGTCTGAATGTCCGGTTATTTCATCAAGATGAAAGCACTGTAAACATTTTTTTGGGTCGTCTTCAGACTTCATGAATTTGAGGGCAATGACATCCGCTGTAGAAAGCATATTGCAGTCATGCAGTACCTCGCGAAACAATTTTGTGTTTTCTCCGTCCCAACTGAACAGAGCTGCTGTATTTCTTATGGTGAAATTGGTAAGAAAAGCTCCTTGCCATCCGACAGGCTGAGCAATTTCATGTCAGCTAGTTCATGAAGTAAAAGGGGATCCAGAGCATTGTTTTCTTTGCTAGAGACAATTACTAATTCCGCTTAAACTTATTGAGTTTATTCGGTATTAGTGCTCATGCGTACATCAACATGGTCCAGGACAACGTCCAGTATCTGGGACCGTTCCGGAAGCAGAAGGGACACAGATACAACCATGGGTTGGGGAAAAATATCTAAGAAAGGTCTCATAATTGAGGAACGGTACAGTATTACGTGGCACAAGTATCCACGAAAAAAAATCTATGACGAATGTCCGAGATGCTCCAAACTCGCAACCTATCATGCAAAGAGCAAAAAAAAAAAAAAAAAAACGATAGGTGATATCTCGAATCTCATATCCGGCCGAGTCCCAGTTTCCCCTTCTCTATTCTGAGACAGGTCACTTTGTTGAAAGCGGTTGAAGCAGCCTACACGTGTAGCATTGAAGGAGGTTTCGTTTGTCTATGAAAAGGGTGGATTTAGGAGAGGAAGAGGTTTTGCTTTCCCCACATCGATTTGAAATTCAATATTGTCCTTGGAAGCTGCATCTTGCTACTCATCAGTGGAGGCTGACCATTCAAAGGGAAACAATTACTGACGGTGGAATTTCGATGGAACGTGCTTCTCTTCCTTGAATTAAACCTGAAAAGGCGTTTGAGTTAGTTGTCCACTGTATGGTCTTTGTTCAAGCTATGGTAGTGATGAAGAGTACTTGATAAAGGAAACGGAAACAACAACAAAGAGAAGCGACGTGAACTAGGGATATATTTGAAAAAAAGTGCGAAGGTTTGTTAGCCAGCGTCCTCTGGGAAAGCGCACTCAGAAAAAAAAAGGACACAAACACTAGCATTAAATTGGGAGCACGAAGAGGTCAAGTGGAATACAGCGCAGTACATGTCATGCACAGTACCCCACACACTCTTGAGAGATGTGCAAGTCTTCGAGAGTGCAGTGCCACGGAAATCTCCAAGGTCACCCGAGTCTCCAGCTTGCATCATACTGTAACGATATGCTGGTTGCACGGTGCAACCAGCATATCGTTACAATATGGTGCAACTTGCACCTGTGTGCATCGATGTCTAACGCTGTCCTCAGGGAGGGTCTTAACTTGCCCGAGTTTGCCCGGGTTTGCTTGCCCGGAGCCATGATTTGCACTACTATTGGCTACTGGGCGTTAATATATGATTTGAAACTAAGTACGACCCTACACTGCAAGCTCAAGTTATGTCAGTGTGTAATGACAAATGTCAATCATATATTGGCTACTTTTGTAAGTTTGTAACTTTCGAATTTGGACGCTGTGCTCCGGTGGACGCAGTGCTTGCCCCTTGCCGAAAACATCCTCAACTCCCCCTTTGCAAAAATCTATGCACCTGCCATCTCGCAAAGGCAACCCAACTCTACGAAGCACCTCTCTGCCTACTACTTTCCTGAAAATGGCTTCCACACCTCAATGCCACGTGCGCCGTTCTCCGCGCCTCTGGCGCATCTCTCCGACTCCCACCATTCGGAAGACGGGGGCCACCAACGCAAAGTCTCTCACTCTTGCTTCCTCGTCTGCAGCGGGCGTTTCTGACCAAATATTATCCCCCCTCCATACGGTATGTACGACTGAATTCTTTGTCGTTAAAAATTCTGTTGGCTCTGACAAAGGTCCATCCCCGTCGGAGATCTAAGGGCTTTGTGAATTTTCGGGGTCGAGGATAGTTTGAAATAGCTTGGTGAAATGAAAGGAGGGAGAATAGAGCTGCGGTTGCGGTTAGTGCGGTCGTAGCAGTGATGATTCTATTGCCGTGCATTGCGTAGGAGTGATTAGATTGAGAAGAAAGGAGGGGAGGCGAACGGCGATACTGGGCAGTGGTTGTAGATCCGTTTTTTGACCAAACAGCGCCGGCGATAGATACGCTATCCCGCGGAGTAGTAAGGAGAGAAGTAGGGGGTGAGATCAATTATTTATCCCGGTGATCTGGGATCACCCGCAATGGCCACGTTCTGGGTCGGAAGCGAGCGACGCTGCAGCGTCTCGCGTCCATGTCGACGCGTCCCTCGGGCGAAGTTGTTTGACGCTGCAGCATGTCACGTCCCTGTCGATGCGTCCTCGGAGCGAATTTGTAGAACCCACAGTGTCCTCCCCGTTGTGTTCTGGCAATTTATGGCGCTGTATGCCTCTGTAAGTCAGCACCGTCGCTCTGGGACACCTGTCCACTACTAACGTAAGGGGAAGGCGTGTACTTACATTAATAAATTAATAAATGACCGGCAAACTCGGGCAAGCAAAGCAAACCCGGGCAAGTTAAGACACACCCTCAGAAGACAGTACATACGTATGACGGTAGCAAAAGGATTGCACAGAGCCGTCTGGTTTCCAAGTACCATTTTCCCGGTAGATTGATGTCAGCATCAGAAACAAGTTTTTCGGCTGATATCGAAACATCCTCAGGGGACATTCTGTGAAAGAAGAAGACAGTAAAAGGGATGGTAGAAGTCTTCTTCTCTTTCCTATTGGAAGAGGACCGCCTACGCCTTGAATCTGGGGACTTCCGGCTTTATAGTGGTGTATGCTTCAAGGGTAGCTCTTTATTTGGAATCTCTCAATAGTACAGTACAGCATGCATGAATGCTTCTTCTGACGCCAAGAACACTAGACGTTGTTGATTCTCAAATTCACGATCACATTTTATGGACACAACCACTTCCATCTGTGGTTTAGTGAACAAAACACGTCGGTTACCCAAAGACAAGGAAATTATGAGACTTGCATGCACTACAGTATCTCAAGGAGGGTTTCTGTTGCAGCCATGTTGCCGTACCAAGCAGTTAATATCTTCGGAGTTTTCTTGTCCACACAAAAACAAATGCTTTCAAAAAGGACTCTGCCGCCGAATGCACATCCTATTAGCGGTACAGTTACAGTGTTGCGGTACAGTACTACAGTGTTACAGTGTCATCTTCAACTAGCGAATGAGTGGACGTATAAACGCATCAGACGAGATACGCAGCATGGCTTAGTGTCTCTTTGTTCAACGAATGAGGTCAATGAGACAAAGCCAGGGATATTGCCATTACTGTACGACAACCCAAGACGGATATTGTGAGGGCCTCATGAAGCTCTGCACCAGGTATGAAGGAGTGCCGCACAATTTCTGGATACGATTAGAGGCTTCAATCCTTGCTGTCACAATGCAGGCAACGTGCCGTCCATTGTTTCTGGCAACAATGCATACATGGTCGCAACAGTTCGTTCACACATGCAACTGGGTGCATAACGAGAAAGTGACCGACCTTTTCGCATGATAACTGCGAGACTGTTTTGCATATGCCGCACATCCCATACAGAACAACAGTACTAGTTAATGCATAAGCGTACATGTGCCTCTTCAATGCAAATTATCCGCAAGAAGTTGACATGTTCACAAAACGCATTTATTGACCATGTGTGACGGCATTTTCAGTCAGCTGCCGATTCCACGCATCCGAATATTTTCGAATTGGGCAACGCCTTTGTGTATCTTGTTGTTGCTCACCTGATTTTATTTTGTCGTGGGAGTAATAAGAATCCAGAAAGCAAAATGGGAATCGCCATAGCGATTACGATATGACCATAGATTACAAAAATTTGATTACACTAAAACAACAAGACTTTCAAATCCCATGCTAAGACAACTGTTCACGTCAGATCGCTCACGCATCTCAAGGCAAACGTCTTTTACAAAATGCTAAGTTGGAATGCCGCCGAGCCTGGTCGTGTTAGAGCACTTGCTTGTAAAACGACGCCAGAAGACTTCTTATTTTGCACGCATGCATCTGGTTCGATGACAAATGCGTTTCATTTGTTCATCTTCCAAATAGCAGTACTTAGTTTCCATATAGAGGACAATTGGACTCCAGATAGTTGCGCATCATCATTTATATTTTCCGATATGGCCTTTTCCACTATCATTTCAACAGGCAATAGTCAAGGCAGTTGTGGCTTCATTGCCATCTGCCAATCTCCGAAAGCTACATTTGCATCAGTCCGAAGAAATTCGCTTCGCCCTTTCAAGACTGTGATGTATCTGGAAATTTGAGGAAATAAATGATAAAGCTTGCATGAGCGAAACAGAGACGCACAAAGTCTTGGCAGCCTCTGCGGCGGTTGTTACAAAGACACGTTTCGTGAAACGGGAAGAGCTGCAACTTCGGAGAAAAAGAGAAAAGGGTTGAGATGGAATATTGAAATGACTTGCGGCATGAAGCAAAACTGAAGGATAGTGAAGCGACTGAGCGCTGTGGAGGGTTTATCAATCGACCACCACGCGACGACTGCTACGCCCTATGATTAGCTAATGTTGGAAAGATGTGCGTCGACCCATGGTAGAGTCGGCCGTTTGAATAGAGCGAAGACGTGTACCGTAATGCCATCATTTGAAATGCGTCGGAGCGTCTGGACCTGCATGCGCGGGACGTTGTCGATGTCAGTTGAGGAGCAATTACTTTCTGGACAACATGGCTTTGCTGCTATGGGAACGTCATGGTTTTGGAGAGAAGCGGGATGATCGAGAAGCAGCATCCACAAACGACGGGCGGTTAGCCGGGAATGATTGAAGATGGGAAGCTATCGTCACTTGATACTACGTCACACAAATGATGACGAATAGAGGTAGGGATTTCGGAACGGAAGATGATGAGAGGAGGGACTAGAAATACAATGATTTGTGCTCCCTTTTTGATTTAAATTGGCTGGAGACATAATGGTCGACGTGTCTCCCATGAAACACGGAGCGGAAGCTATTGGTGAGGCAGGTTTCTAGAGGCTCGGAAGGCAAGTGGAGTGCTGTAATAGTGGCGAGGTTGGTGCAGTACCCTTGGTACTGTATCGTATTGCTCTGTTGGCACTTGTGCACGATACCCTCCGTGCAGTCCTTGGTAGCGCAGAGTAACTATCACGACGAATGGCATTAGTGTAATGATTATGCTATTGTTGGCTTTGCAGTAGCTGCGGGTGAAGTGAGAGGGAAAAATTTAGAGCACGAGTTAGCAGAATACGGAGACCGTGTGTAGGAACGTAGGAACGGTGGCAAGCAGTGCGGTGAAGGCGTTAGTTTTTGAAGAGGCCGGCGTAAGAGGGCATCGAAGAGAGACCACTCTGGTCTCCAGAGTCTGGAGACATGGATTCCTGGCAACTGATGGAGTACGCGTTGTGTATTTGGGAGGGATTTCGGAACGGAAGCGAGTGGGCGACGAGAGAGGATTGGCGGAGAGAAGAAGGCAAGGTTGGACAGCAGTGGGTTGCACTCTGGTGAAATATGGATCGCTGGAGACCAAAGCGACTGAGCTGATGGCGGACGAGGATTGGCGGCGGCCATGCTTCCACGGCAAATCGACATGGCGTAGAAAAGCGCATATGCTTGTCCACCGTCCCCTTTACAGTTGACGTTGATGGTAGCACGCGTCTGTATTACACGTGTTATGATTAGCCGCAGTGCGAATTCGGCACATGCCCTTGTTGACGAGGACCGCATGTTGCTCTTTCTTGAACGCTGTACAGGTGCAAAGGCAAGAGCTCGGTCCCGCGGGATGTCCCATGGTGGCGCGTTTTGTTTTATTACATGTCTGTCAGTTTGCATTTTCTGAGAGGCCGTTACCCTTCGAAGGGTACTTGAGGTCGGATACATCTGCATGCGTAATGTTACGTGTTCACAATCAATAATGCAATGATAGTATAAGAGACATGACATTGCGCAGTTTGTCTGTTCGATGTCATCATTGGAACGATTAGAGACATTTATGTTACAGTGTGCCATGCTGTTGAGAGATGGACGACATGTGGTGGTGTTGCCAGAATTCGCCATGGATTAGCCGTCGGCGTAGCGACATGAATGCAACGGTGTCCTTCATTCGACATAGCGAGGAGGAGACACGGTCGCGGGTTAGGTTGGACTTGCACTGTACCCTTGGTACTGTACTTGAAAGAAAGAAGACTGAAGGCAGCAATTGTTTGAAATGGGTTTAAAAATTGACATCACGGGACACTGACGGTGCCGTAGGTAACAAAGTTAGAGGGATGGTTTCGTAACATCGAAATGCTGGGGGGGGGGAGAGCGAATGCAGACTGCATGTGGCTGGTTTAAAGATGGACAGATCACATGAAGGGTGTTGAGGAGGGGGGAAGAAGACGAATGTGGTTGAGATATGCAGTGGCAGTTGAACGAGGAAATTTGAGCTGTTGTACAATTGCGTCCAGGACTGTAATCCCGGGCAACAGGATCGGGCAACAGGATCGGGGCGCGAGTGTCGTGAGTAACGAAACGGCTAAGGAGGGAGCACGGAGGTGTCCACTGGAGCAAGAAGACGCGCGGAAGTGATGTGAGAGAGTTAAGAGGAAGGGGGGGGGGTGGGTACTTGCATGTCTTATCCGAGGTGTAAGGGCTGTACAGTGTGGTTGTTGTACAACCTTAGGGGCATGCACCGTAACTGTGCACAGGGAATATTTAATCAGGCGCATGCACTGTACCTGCGCATAGGGAATATTAAATCAA